AATAAATAAATAAATCTTTTAAAAAAATAAAATAAAATCAGAAATTAATGAATTAGTTAAGGGGTGCCTGGGTGACTCAGTGGGTTAAGTGTCTGACTCTTGGTTTTGGCTGGGTAGTGATCTCATGGTCGTGAGCTTGAGCCCCATGTCTGGCTCTGTGCTCATCACGGAGTCTGCTTTGGAATCTTTCTCCCTCTCCATCTGCTTCTTCCCCTGTTCGTTTGCTCTCTCTCTGTCTGAAATAAATAAATACAATATTAAAAAAAAAAAAAGAAATTGATGAATTGGTTAATATTCTTAAAAGCTTAATGGTGATAGATTCCCAAAGATAGACGTCTGACAAAACTAATCAGGGGGAAGAATTATGTAGTAGGAATAGGTAAAAAAAATGGAGGAATAAGAAAAAATTATATGCATAGCATTTTAGGAAAATATAGAATAGATAAGCTATTAATAAGATAATAAAAATATATTTTAATCACTGTCACTGAAAAGGCCAACTATGGAATAAAGGGGAAATGTTTTTAAAAATTAACAAATAATAATTCGTCCTCCCAAACTGTTGAGCCCAGATGTCCTCACAGGGTGCTTGGTGTTGGGGTTAAGGGTGCAGACTGTAAAGAATCCAGCAGACCAGCATCCCTACCGGCGATGCCCAGCAAGGCCTTGGGCAGCCACTTTACCCCCGCCCCAAGCCTCTACTTTCCCATCTGCAAGGTGGGTTGGGAGGGCCCCTCCCCATGGACCTCCTGATGGTCAGTCCAGGCGATTTTAGCTCACATGAGGCCACCCAAGCCACAGCTTCCCCAACTATAAAATGGGGGTGGGAACAGAGGTGACCTCATAGGGCTGTGGGCAGAGTAAATGAGTGCATGAGATAGGCCTGGCTATTAGAAAGTGGTATTTATAATTCCTACTCATCGTGAGGTCACATCAGGGGATCAGCACACCATGGCCCGAAGGACCAAATCCCACCAGCTAAGAAGGATTCTAAAGCAAACAGGAAAAAAAAGCAAAATCAGTATTCTCTGACACGTGAAAATTCTATGGAATTTGGATCGCAATGTCCATAAATAAAGCTTTACAGGAATAGGCTGTGCCCGTTTGTCGATGTGTCATCTACTAACACCTTTTACTGTGTAACAGCAGAGCAGAGTAGTTGTGACTGAGACAGTGTGTGATCTGCAGAGCAAAAGTGTGACTCTAGCCTGTGCAGGGAAGGGGAGCTGACCCTCATATTGAGCAGTCACAGGTGATAGGTAGAAAAGGAAAGGACCTGCTGGTTGGTTAAAGCTAGGACAGCTGGCAAGGCAACATCACATGTTGAGAGTAGGAGAGTCTTGTCTGTGGGGGTGGGGGGGTCATGGGAGCTCTGAGGGGTGCTGGGGGTGCTGGTGGGCCTCATGCTTTCATGCTACTGCCCTTTCTATGCAGCGGATTTTGGAGGACAAGGAGGAGAACCCCCTCCCCGCCGCCCTGGTCCAGCCCCACACAGGGAAACTTTGCTGGTTCCTGGACGAGGCAGCTGCCCGACTCCTGACTGTGCCCTTTGAGAAGCATTCCACGTTGTAGCTGGCCCCAAGGGACACCGCAGCGGGGACCACAAAAAGCCCTTGTGGGCAGGGACCTTCCTGGGCGGGATCCCGCTGCCATCACCACTTCAGGCTTCATTTTCAGAAAGCTACGTGGTGCTGCTGGAAGGTCACAGGATCCAGCCGTCAGCCCTGCCCTGGGGTGCTCAGCCCACCAGCCGTGGCTCGGGGTGACCAGATATTAAATGGAGCATTTGCTTGAAGTCTCCACTGTCTCGTGGTCCTTGGAGGGCAGCGGGACCAGGGATGCCCAGGCTGACCGTGTGACCTGAAGCCCGTGTCCCAGTGCATGGAAGTCAGGGATGGGCACCCTGGGGGAGTTTCCCGGGGCTGCCGGAGCAAAGTACCACAAAATTTATGGTTGCCCAGTTCAGGAGGTCAGAGGTCTGAAGTCAAGGTGTCCATAGGTCCTCCCTTCTGGAGGCTCTGAGGGAGAATCTGTCCTGTGCCTCTCTTCTGGGTTTTGGTGACTGCTGGCACTCTTCACAGGCCTTGACTTGTGGACACATCATTCCAGTCTCTGCCTCTCGTGTCCTGTGTCCTTCTCCCTCAGTGTCTCTCTGTGTTCTCTACCGGTCTAGTGAGAACATCTGTCATTGGCTATAGGACAACCCTAGATCCGGGGTGAACTCTTCTCAAGATCCTTAAGAATTATAGTTGCAAATAAGGTCACAATCTGAGGCTCCAGGGGACATATCCTCTGTGTGTGTGTGTGTGTGTGTGTGTGTGTGTGTGTGTGTGTGTGTCTGTGTTAAAAAACACATAACAAAATTTAACCATCGTAGCCATTTTTAAGAGTCCAGTTCAGGGGTATTAAGTATGTTCACACCATTGTGCAGCTATCATCACTGTCCATTACCCTAATTCAGTCTCATGTCCTCAAGGTTCATTCATGTAGCCGGGGTCAGGATCTCCTTCCTCTTTATGGCCGAAGAATGTTCCATTGTATGTATGTGCCACACATTTTTCCATTCATCTGTCAGTAGACACTTGGGTTGCTTCCACACTTTGTTTATTGTGATAGTGCTGCTGTGAACACAGTTATATAAATAGCTCAAGACCCGGCTTTCAGTTCTTTGGAGATATTTCTAGCAGTGGACTTGCTGATTCATTTGGTGATGCTATGGTTAAATTTTGAGGAACCTCCATACTGGTTCCTACAGTGGCTGCACCATTTTATATTCCTGCCAGCAGTGCCCAAGTGTTCCAATGTCTTCACATCCTTATCAACACGTGTTTTGTTCTTTTTTTATAGTAGCCTGTGGACATATCCTTTTGGGGTATACCATTCACCCCAGATACACTTGACTGAGCTCTCCCTGCACACATAGGGCCAGTGGCAGCCTCTGTCCTACTATGCTGCGGGCCTTCTCAGAGCCTTGAATGTGCCAGGACGCCTCAGTCTGTGATGTTCCAGGCTGTAGCATTTTCCCACAGTGTGACTGCATGACCCCACCTGTCAGCTTCATGGCACCAGGGCTTGCAGCGGGGGAGGCTGGTGGGCACGGGGGGGCCCCCAGCCATGCTTGAGCTATGCCAAGTTTGGGGGCTGGGCACGTCCCACAGAGGCACCTGGTCAGGCTGTGGGGATTGAAACTCCGAAGCCAAAAACCACAGAAAGTGAAGTTTCCTTTAACATCTTGTCTGGGTCAATCACTCAGATGTGAGAGTGAGGAAGTGGGTCAGGGCCAGGGCGGAAACGTGAAGAGAAGCAGAGAAAGCAACCCAGCCATGGGCTTGGGCAACAGCAGGTGGCCATGACCCAGGTGCTTCAGGCAGAAGCCAGGACAGGGGTGCCAAGAAGCAGAGGGAAGTGATGAGATAGGCATGGGGACCCCATGTGGGGGGCCTCTGGGACAGGTCCCCTTTCTGCCCCTCTCCTGTAGGAGCACCCCCGCCCCTGCTCAGACCTGCTTGTGTCTGCCCCTCACTCACCTCCCCTCAGCCTCCCCACCTCGTGCTGTGCCAGACCTGTCAATCCCCACCTCAGGGCCTTTGCATGTGCACTACCCAGTATTCTTTTTTTCTCCAGCTTTTTGCATGACTTGGGCCCTCACTTGCTTTAGGTTGAGGCACATCACCTCCCTGATCATGCTCCACCCCTGGTACTTTCTCCCTCTTCCCATTCCATTTTTCTTCCTTACCTTTAACATTATCTGACCGTTTTGTTGCTGTGCCAACTGATGGTCCATGGGGACTGACCATGGTCTGTTTTGCCCACTTCTGCATCCCTGGCACATCATTCAAGGATGATAGTCAGTCTGGCAACGAGTGATGGTTGTCAAGAGAAGACATGAACCTGGGGCATTGGTGAGGATTACAGTCAGATGTTCCTGGTGGTTTAAACAAAATGGAGAGTTAGCTTTTTTTCTGAAGGGATGCCACCCAAGGTTGATGGAGCAATGTCATGAACTCTTCCGGGACCCCTGGTTCCCACATCATAGTTGGGTCATTGTCATTATGTGGGTTTCACCTTATGGTCCAAGGTGGGCTGCACATGCTCCAGTCATCACATCCACATTCCGGCCCCTGGAACTCAACACCCCCTTCGTCTGACAGCCTGTGAGACTCACATTTGATGATATTTCAGCCTGGAGCAGACTCTGCTCCTACCCTTCCTCTCTTCCTTCATCAAACTGAGGGCTGCTCTCTGCCAGGCACTGGAAAAACAGGTGAAGGTGTAGGAAGATCCAGCTAACCTGATGAAGTCCAGTGCTATTTGCACTGATGGAGGACAGGCTGACAAAACAAACACAAGGGGGGCACGTCCCACCAATCTGTGGCACACCAACCCCCCACACACACCCTATCCCCCTGCCCCAGCACTGGCCCCAGGAACTGGGGGTGTCTGTCCAGCTCTGCCTCTCCGGTCTGGGGGTTGCTGGCGGCTGGGTCAGTGCTGGATCCTCTCAGTACTCAGCAGCACCCAGCAGGCGGTAGGCACAGTGGAAGCGGGGAGCGGGTGTTTAGACACCCCGTCTTTGCCCATCCCCCTCCCCTGTCCCACACACCAACAACTGCTGCTGGTCCTGCCAGGTGTTGGCCCTGCCTCCCTCCCTCAAAGCTAGGATTCTAGTCTTCCATACTCCCAACCACCCCTGGGGCTGCCCCAGGGGCCGCTGCAGAAACCAGCAGCTCTGAAGGCCTTGGCCCCAGGGGAACCAGGAGGACGCAGGTGCAGTGTGGGGTGGGGCAGGGCAGGGGTGGGGCGGGCATTCCCTCGCTCCTTCCCCCTCCCACTCCGACACATGCATTCACACAGGGGCCATGCTCTGGCTTCAGAGCCCAGGCAGCTGGTCTCAGCAGCATCCAAGCCCCTCATCGACTGCCCTGCTCCTGGGGTGCCCCTGAACCCAGAAACCTCGGGGCTGTGGGAGGGGAGGTGGCGTCTGCTTTGCTCTCAAGGGAGCCCCTAGAGACGGCAGCAGGATGGGTGGGCGGCCCTCGAGCCCCCTGGACAAGCGGCAGCAGCAGCACCTGAGGGGTGAGCCAGCATGGGGTGAGGTGGGAGTGGGGCAAGTGGAGTTTGGGGCTAAGGTTGTCAGACACAGTGTCTGAGAGTAGTAGGATACCTACTAATGGGAATTCCAGATAAGTAGTGAATACTCTTGTATAAGTATGTCCCAAATTTTGCATGGGTACATACTTAGACTAAAAAATGGTTCCTAATTTCTCTGAAATTCAAATTTAATTGGTGTCATGTATTTTTATTTGGTAAATCTGGTAACCCTATTTGGGGCATGGGTTCAGGAGGAGGGCGAGAGACCAGGTGGGAGGTGTCCCAGGCCCAGCCAGATCTCCTGGGCTGATTTTCCTCGATGAGAAGGTTCCAGCAGGGCCCTCTGCATGGGGACCCTGGGGAAACAGGTTCAGTTTCTGATTCGAGACTGAGAGGGGCTGGTGCCCTCACATAGTTGAGCACCTACTGTATGCTGGGTACTGGGGACACAGTGGGGTTGAGAATGTTCCACTCTCCTGGGCTTATAACCTGGACCAGGAAAGAAGATCAAGTTATCATTACAGGAATGGCAGGTGATGGATGAATGCAGTGGAACCCCATAGGTTCCTCAAGTCAAGGGAAGAAGAGGCAGGTAACTGCCCACCATGGAGATGATGGTCAAGCCAGGGCGGGAGGATTGTGATGGAGTTGGTGGGTAGGAGATGTGGGGAGAGCATCCCAGATAGAGGGAACAGCATGTGTACAGGCATGTGGTGTGTCTTGCAAACACTTGAGACCGACCATCCAAGTTCACACCATGGCCCTGCCCTCACTCGCTGGGTGGCCTTGGGCAAATGACGTCAGCTGTCTAGGTCTCATTCTCTCACCTGTAAAACAGGGATAGCAACAATGTCTAGTTGTGGAACCACTGTAAGGATTCAGTAAGTTACTTTATGCCATGTATTTTTGTCTATAGTGGCTTAAACAAGATAAAGATTTATTTCTCTTGCCTATAGAGAGGTACAGTGGTGGGCAGGCTGATAAAAGTTAGACACCTGAATTCCTCCTGCCACATGTGGCTTCCGTGCCCAAACCCACCTCATGGTGCACAATAACTGCTGAAGCTCCAGCCATTGGGTCCACATTCCACACAGCAGTTTGGATTTACGTTTTACATTTAGCCAAGTGCACACATCTTTGGGGAACAGTTTGAAGGACTTTGAAACTTGTGTGATCACTTCCTAGATCATAATGCAGAAAGTTCCCTTGTGCTAGGGTGAGGCTTTTAAAAGATTTCAAAACTCTCCCCAGGGAAGGGGCAAGAGGAAACTTGGGGGTTCATTATCTTGATTGTGGTGATGATTTCTTGGGTGCGTAAAGGTGTCAAAGTGCATCATCAGATTGTAAAGTTTATTCTGCATCAGTTATAAATTAAGCCTGAGTCCCTAACCCCCCACCTGGCCCCCACGTGGATAGAAACAGCCTGTGGAGGGTGAGTGGAATTTGGAGCATGTCTTGTTGGGCAGCTTTGGGGCGATGGTGGGAGCTCACACGGGGCCTCCCTTGCCTGTTCTGACCCCTGCAGGGCCTGGTGGACGCCTTACCTTACCATCTCCTTGCCCCTGCAGGCCAGGTGGACGCCCTGCTGAGGAACTTCCTGCCCTGCTACCGCGGGCAACTGGCAGCCTCTGTCCTGCGACAGATCTCCCGTGAGCTGGAGCCCCGGGAGCCCGCCGGATGCCAGCTGATGCGCAGTAAAGTGGGTGCCGCAAAGGAAGAGGGTGCTGAGTGAGGGAGGCTGGGGTGGGGAGCTTTGGTTCAGTCAGGGGCCCTCCTTACACCTTGACCCTAGCTGGCGCCAAGACCTGGGGAGACCATTAAGATTCATTCTTTGAACATTCACTGGGTACCTACTGCAAACCATGTCCCAGGCTAGACACTGGGGACACCGCACTGCCCCCTCTCCCCTCACCCAGGGTCATGGTCTGACGCGGGGAGAAATGACCAAACACATTAACATATCATGATGCATATCATGATGCATAACTTCCCATAGGTTGCTATGGAGACAAGATGAAAGGCAGTGTTGGGAGGTCGGGGAGTTGGGGTTCAGGGAAGGCGCTCTGAGCTGAGATGTAAAGGATGAGAAGGGACCAGATCTGGAACCCAGAGTGGGAAGGGAATTCTAGGCAGAGGGCGCAGCCAATGCAAAAGCTCTGGAGTTGGAGAACCCTTGCCTTGTCTATTGGGCAAGAGGCATGCCCATTGGACCCTCACACCTTTGGACATGTGGTGCCCTATGCCAGCCTTGTCCACTCACTCCCCCAGACCCCTTGTGCTTATGTGGTGCCTGCACATAGTAGAAGCTCCACGAGGGTTTGTTGATGGAACGTAAGAGGGTGGAGCTGGGACGCCTGGGTGGCTCGGTGGTTGAGCGCCTGCCTTTGACCCAGGGCATGATCTTGGAGTCCCAGGATTGGGTCCCACATTGGGCTCCCTGCATGGAGCCTGCTTCTCTCTCTGCTTCTCTGTCTGCCTATGTCTCTGCCTCCCTCTCTGTGTATGTCTCTCATGAATAAATAAATAAAATCTAAAAAAAAAAAAAAAGAGGGTGGAGCTGCCTGGCCTGGCTCCAGATGTCTCCTGAGCCAACAAATGGCTCCATGTGCTCTAAACAACTCACCCAGCCCTCATCAGCCTGGGAAATGAGTCTTCAACCAGTGAGGAAACCGAGGCACAGAGAGATAGGGTGACCTGCCTGAGGTCACTCTGCCAGCAAGAGGCAAAGCATGATTTGAACCTAGAGTCCGTGCTGGTTACTGACACTGGGTCCCTGCCCCAGTCGACTCTGAGCTTCTTCAACTTCTCTCAGATGCCTCTTTTCCCAGCTGTGCCTGGTCCTGGGCTGGAGGCTCCCTGCACTGTGGACACAACTCACCTGGGCTCTCCCTGTCCCACTTGGGGCATCATGGGACCCCAGGTGTGGTCCCCACCTGCACCTTCTGTCACCTGTAGGTTCTTGCCACCTGTATCTTGGGCACAGTTGACTTTGGGGTCTGAGCCATGGTGGAGGGGGTGGGATTTCCCCTTGCTTCAGTTTGAACATTTTAGAAAATTCTTTTTTTATGTATAATTTCGATAATAATGCTTTAACAATATTATTCTGAAAAATCTCAGGCCTCAGGAAAAATCTGGAGAATCATTCAACAAACCCCTGAGTTTCTACTGCCCCATCAGAGGATGAAAAGATCACAAATACGGTTAATTTATTCATTCAATATTTATCGAGTGCCATCTGTGCACTGGGCCTCGCTCTGGGACCCAGTGATGAAACAAAACGTGCACAATTCAGATGGCCAGGTAGTGAGAGGAGCAACAAAGATAATAAAACAACGTGATGTCCCACCCTGCCCCAGGGAGGGGTCTGTGGACAGAGGACCAGCTGCTTCGCATGAAAGTGAACTGCACCTGCTCCCTGACCGAGCAATCCCACTTGTATTAGCTAACGTTGTGTAATGACACATCGCACCACCAGTGGCTGGAAACAACACACTTGTGTTATCTTACAGTTGCTGTGGGTCAGGAGTCGAGACACAACCTCCTGAGTTCTTTCTTTTGGGGTCTCTCACAGGCTGCAATCAAGATGCTGACCAGGGCTGGGGTCTCATTGGAGGCTCAAGTGGGGAACTCCCTGCTTCCAAGTGACAAATTGTCAGCCTCCCAGGACTGTAGGGGGCATTATGTCAGTTTGTATTTGGAAGTGTCCCAAACAAGTGTATGCTGTTAGCATGTGAGAAAGGATAGCAGTGCCATGTCAGCAGCCCCGAGCTCCCTGTACTTGGTGGAACCTGAGATGGGGTGGGGGGTGCTTTCCAGGTGGTCTGGACATGGGGACACCAGTCTTTGCCCCCGACATCCACTGGTCCCTCCTCCTGCAGAAGCTTCCCCGAGTCCGTGAACACCGAGGGCATCTGACCCAGCTTGGGGGCCACCCGCCCCGGTGGCAGCCCATTTTCTGTGTCCTGCGTGGGGATGGCCGCCTGGAGTGGTTCAGCCTCAGGGAGGTAAGTAAGTGGCCCTTGTCCCTTCCTTCTGGCCTCACCATCCCACTCCCGTCAGCATGGGTTTGGGGTCCAGCTTCCAATGTGATCCTCTCTCTTTTCTTCATTTACCTAATATGAATTGAGGATCCTTATGAGATTGGCTTGGGGTGGGTGACTGGGTCCTGCTGGGCTGGGTAGGTAAACTGAGGTCCAAGAGTGGGGATTTTCTCATGGTCATCAGCAGAGCTGAGGTTGAAACTGGGAGGACGTTTGTGCATCCCATCTGGCTGGGGAATTCGGGCAGGTCATTTGTGCCCTTGGGACTCAGTTTCCACCTCTGTAAAATGGGATGACGGTGGCCCAGGCCACAAGGGGTTGTGAGGATTCAATGAGATAATCCTCATACAATATTTAGGATTAGCCTAGCACATAGTGAGTGCTGGGTGCTTGACTACATGAGAGGAACAGGGGGACTTCCCTAGCCAACCCTAAACCTTCCCCTGATCCAGTTAGGACATAGAAGCCACAGTTTAGACCTGTCGCAAGCTGGTTCTCTGGATGCCTTTCATAGGAATATGAAAATGGGGGCCATCCCCTGGGCTCCATGACCTTGACAGGGTATACTGTCCTGACTTCCCAGCGTGAATATCTACACCTGTTGGACACTCTCTGTCCAGTCTCCTCAGGTAAGGTCCCTGGGACCTCAAGAGCAGGTTTTTTTTTTTTTTTAACCTTAGAATTGTTGACAGTTGGGGCCAAATCATTCTTTGCAGGGAAGGGGGGCACCCTGTGCATTACAGGATGTTGAGCAGCATCCCTGGCCTCCACCCACGTGATGCCAGGAGCAACCCCCTATGCGAAGGGTGACAATCAAAAATATCTCCAGACATTGCCAAGTGTCCCCAGGGGGTAGCATTGCCTTTGGTGTGCACCCCAGCTCTAGCAAGAGAAATATCCACTCTCACCAGAGAGAGAAGGAGAATTAGAACATTGGACCAGGGGATCCCTGGGTGGCTCAGCGGTTTGGCGCCTGCCTTTGGCCCAGAGCGCGATCCTGGAGTCCCGGGATCGAGTCCCGTGTCAGGCTCCCAGCATGGAGCCTGCTTCTCCCTCCTCCTTTGTCTCTACCTCTCTCTCTCTCTCTATGTCTATCATAAATAAATAAATAAATCTTTAAAAAAAAAAGAACATTGGACCAGAATCAAAGTAGCAAGGCTAAAAACAATAAAACCTGGTGTCAGCGAGCATGTGCGGATATGGGCACTGGTGGGTGGGAAAATCACACAGATTTGCTGCAGGTTGTATTGTTCAACCCAGCATTTCCAGGAGGGTTTCCCTCCCTCCCCTCCTCCTTTCTCTCCCTCCAGCCCCCCTCTTTCATTATCACAACACTGTGCAGGAATAGGGAAAGGAACTGCATTATTGTACTGGTGGCATATGTATGACGAGTGCTCAGCACGGGGCTTCTGTTACCTCACTGAGTCTGACCAACAGCCGGCCCCATCACTAACTACCCCATTTCACAGCCGAGGACACCGAGGCTGAGGACTGTCAGGACCAGAATTGCACTTCTGCTTCACGGTGAAGCTATCCTGCCCCCAAGTGATGCAAAGATGTAGCAATAAAGACAGTTCGCAGAAATGATGATGCTGTTGAAAATATCAAAATCCATCCAGATACCCATCCTTCAGGGGTTGATTAAATAAACGATGGTCCAACCCTTAGAAAGGATAGCAGTGTAAGCAGCTGAAGGTGCCCCAGACATATGCAAGAGCAAAAAACTCCATCTTGTCACAAAAGCCCGCCTCACACACTGTGTGGATTTTAAGATCTGGAGTAATGTCCCCCAAAGTATTAAAAGGCTATTATTACCTCTGGGCGCTGCAGCTGAAGGACCAGGGTGATCAGGGATTTCTACTTTCTGGATGACTGCATTTTACTGCATATCCCAGGTACTGCTCTGGAAATCAGGACTGAGCACTGAGGATTTAGGACAACCCCAAATAAATTAACCGAAAAGAAATTCACTCATTTTGTCCCCTCAGCAGGTCATGGTAACACTTTGAAGCCCATTTCACAGGCAGGACACCCAAGGTTCAGATAAAAAACTGCACCTATGTATAGAGCTAACAAATGATTTGGCAGGGTTTTAATCTGAACCTGGCTAACCCCTCTCCCCCAACCCGCCCTGGGGGGGGGGCGGGTGTAAGCAGGGTTCAGATCACTCTCCAACTCAGCTAGATTGGCAGTGGCTGCCCAGGCCTCTGTGTTAAGGAGGATGCTGAAGTTCGGAAACTGTTGGGATGGTTGGTCGGTGTCTGCCCTGGGCTCACCTCCCTCTGGATCTGAGCTCAAACAAGGATAGCACAGTTATGATAGCACGGCTCGTGCTTTTCAAGCAACTGCCTATGCCGGGGGCTTCTCTAAGCATTTCGTGGGTGTTTTCTTTTAGTGAACGAATGATTGTGGAGTGAGTGAGTGAATGAAGACACAATCTCCGCTGTCTGCTTGCAGGAGATCATACACAGGAAGAGCCTGACCCCCTCCTGGAAACGCCGGTGACCTTCCCCCTGTTCCTGCAGCACCCCTTCCGCTGGCACCTCTGTTTCTCTGCAGCCTCGAGGGAAGCGCAGCGCGCCTGGAGGCTAGCCCTGCAGGGCGGCATCCGGCTTCGTGGCACAGGTGGGCCCTGGGAAAGCTCAGGCAGCCGTGGGTCTTGGAGTCCTGCCCCTGCTGGCTATGGAGTCGTCTCCAATTTCTAGTTTTCTTATTTATGAAATGGATTGGGGTGGTGGGAGACAGAAGCAACCATAGGCAGTTATTAGTGACCAGGGCTGCGATGGGGACGCAGCCCTGTGGGAGCTTAGCCTGGGAGGTCAGAGAGGGCTACTCGGAGGCAGGATGTCCAGCCGGGCGTCTGACAAGGATAAGGGGCCAGCCAGGTGAAGAAGGGGAACAGGACCCACACATGTTGAGCAGGTTGTTGAGTGCACAAATGTACTTAGGTGGAGCGGCTGTGACTGTCTACACAGAGGATGCTTTTTCCTAAATCATATTATAAAGGTGCCTTACGGGCTGGTGATGTCCTCGGGCACCGTGTTCCCTGCAGAGGGCACTGCTTGTGCAAGGGTCTGGAGATGGGTGAGCCTCGGGTGCTCCGGGATTGGGTGAGGAGGCGGAGGGCTTCCTCCCCGGGTCGTGGGGAGCCAGGCGGAGGTGCGAGCAGGGAAGGAGTGGGCTGGCACTGAGGAGCTGCCCCCGCAGTCCTGCAGCGCAGTAAGGCCCCCGCCGCCCGCGCCTTCCTGGACGCCGTAAGACTCTATCGGCAGCACCAAGGCCACTTTGGCGGCGACGACGTGACCCTGGGCTCGGACGCCGAGGTCAGTGCCGCGCAAGGCCGCCCCCGGGACCCCTCTAGACCCGCCGGGGCGCCCACGGTCCCCTCTCCCGCAGGTGCTGACCGGGGTGCTGATGCGGGAGCTGCTGCCGGCGCTGCGAGCGCAGACGCTGCCCGGCCTGCGAGGCGCGGGCCGCCACCGTGCCTGGGCCTGGATCGAGGTACGCGCGGGGTCGCGGAGGTCGGGACTCGCGGGGGTCGCAGAGGCCCATGCGGGACCGACCCGGGGGCCCACCTTCCCCCTCCTCGCGACTGGCCCCTAAACTCTCTCCCCGTCTCTCCGCGTCTCCATCTCTCTGTCCCCGCACCCGCGCCCCATCTCCGCTCCCTCCCACGCCACTGGCCCGTGGGGTCCCCTCGGCCGGGCCGGACAGCTCCTAGACGCGGTGCACGCCGCCGTCCTGGCCGGGGCCTCCGCCGGACTCCGCGCCTTCCAGCCGGAAAAAGACGAGCTGCTCACGGTCCTGGAGAAAACCATCCGCCCCGACATGGACCAGATACTGCGGCAGCGGGAGCGCCTGGAGGGGAGGCTGCGGGGTGAGGCCTGGGGGCAGGGCCTGGCACATGGGGGCGGGGCCTGAGCAGACAGGGGCGGGGCCTCGGCAGGGAGGGGCGGGGCCGGGAGCCTGACAGGTAGAAGCGGAACCGGGTGGGTATAAGGGGTCGGGCGGAGAATCCCCGACCTGAGACACACAGGGCAGGCGGGGTGGGGGGAGAAAGGAAGGGCACGAGAGACCCGGGGTCAGTGGGAGTCTGGGCGTGGCCTGCGAGACAGGGGCAGCGTCCAGAGGGAAGTCCCGGCGAGGTAGGGCGTTAGGCTAGGGATGGAGACAGGGACACCCAGTCGGGAAACGAGTGGGGGCACAGGCAGTGGCCGACCTGACCCGGGATACCCCGGCAGATGGCAGAGGCTCCCACTCTGCTCGTAATCCAGACTCTGCCTCTGGCGTGTGCGACTTTGAGCTGGATGCTGCCGGACTCAAAGCCTCAGTTTTCTCCTGTGTAACAAGGTAGACGAGGGTGCCCAGAGTCTGAGCTCCTGTCCTCCTCCTCGTGTTGGCCCATGGGTGCCTCTACCCGCGAGCACCTTGTGGAGGAGATCCAGGCCAGTATCTTCCACTCCCAGTCCAGGTCCAGGGCCCCCTAGAGTCGTGCCTGCGCCGGAAGGTGGACACACAGCTGTCCCTGGTCACTCAAAAGCTGCTGAGCACCATGGAAGCCGTTCTCTCAGCAGTGCGGACCCTCCTAGCTCAGGCCATGGACCGCCTGTCCCGCCACCTGCGTGGGAGCTCCTCTGGCACATGGCTGCGCAAGGAGGTGAGCTCCAGTTTGGGGGTGGGGGATGAACAGGCAGTGTGCTAGCTTTACAGAAGCGTCGTGTGAATGGTTTCATCTTTCCAATTGAAAAACCTCTCTCGAAAACCTTTTCTGGGGATCCCTGGGTGGCGCAGCGGTTTGGCGCCTGCCTGTGGCTCAGGGCGCGATCCTGGAGACCCAGGATCGAATCCCACATCGGGCTCCCGGTGCATGGAGCCTGCTTCTCCCTCTGCCTGTGTCTCTGCCTCTCTCTCTCTCTCTCTCTGTGACTATCATAAATAAATAAATTAAAAAAAAAAGAAAAAACCTTTTCTGAATTTTGTTCTAGGCTTTTTACTTATTGTAGACCACCATGCTATGGCCATTGGGGGCACAGTTTAAAATATGGTTGGGGGGAGGAGTAAAGTGACAAGAGTAGCATTTTAGCAACATGGGTCTGGAGTCACCTACCCTCAAATTCCTCCTGTTCCCATTCCTTTGTTGTCAGAGTCCACCCCATCCCCTAAGCCAGTGAACTCTCCTCCCTGCAGGCCACCTCAGTTCTTTTGATATTAAATGATCACTTACCGAGTGCCAGGAAAACCTCAATTCATTAAACTTTCACTTCATAATCACCTCCTCCAGGAATCTCTCTGCTCCCTCTCTGCATCCACAACTACCTGTGCTTCCTTCCTCATAGAGGTGTTTACATACCTCTCTAGTGGTTTGTAGTTTATGTCCAACTTTTCTGTGAGCTCCTTGAGGGCAAAGACCATATTGAATTACTCCATTTCTGCAGCGGCAGAGCCCCCCAGCATAGACGGAGCATCAGGTGGTGGGTGTAGATGTGACAAAGGCTATTGCTTATTTCCTCTCAGTCATGCCAGAACTGCATGTTAGCCTTTTTTTTTTTCAGGTTTCACCGTTTTATGTCCATCACACCATACCTGTTACTTTTATTATGCATTTTTGGGGGTAATGACTGAGGTGGGATGTGTTTCCATTTGCATATCTCCTACTATGAATTGGCTGTGAGATCCTTGGCCCTGCTTTTCCATCAACTGATGGTGTTTTTCTCACCTGCCTGCCACTGGAGCCCAGGTTTACTCATTTGGGGAGATGCCCTGGGACCCAGAGCTGATGCAGACCTGCTACCGTGAGGCTGAGCGAAGCCAGGGCCGCCTGGGTCAGCTGGTGGTGCCATTTGGCTTCTCTGGAACACGAAGCCTCATGTTTGGGGCTCAGGATCTTGCACAGCAGGTGAGGGGGGGAGTGGGAGGCTGCAAGGAGGCAAGGCAAGGGGAGCAGCCCCCACTGAAAAGGTGCCAAGGATGTGCTGGGGAGACCATGAGGGCAATAGACCTGGCCTCCCTCACTGGGATCACATGTGGGCTGTGATGGGAACACGCAGAGTTAGGAGAACCTCCAGGAGGAGAGGACTTTCAAACTGAGGCAACAGGGGGAAAAAGGAGGTGGGGTATGTCCTGGGTAGAGGGAGCAGTGTGGATCAGCTCTGGGAAGTGAGGGAATTTGTCTGCATTTGGGGAAGTGAAGCCATTGATAAACATTGGGTTGTAGGTTTCAAGCAAGGGCAGAAAGGTGGGAGATATGCCAGCAAGGCCGGTGGACAGATGGGTCAGGGACTTGAATGTGGGGCTAAGGGCCAAGCACTGCCCTGAGGGCAATGGGAAGCCATAACAGATGTGTGAGCAGGGGAGGGGCATGACCAGATTCAAGATTTAGGAAGTCCTACATGCTGTGGGGAAGGGGAGTTCTTGGGTACAGGAGTAGAGTAGTCAGGAAGGAGACCTGAACCAGAACGGGTGCTGTCAGTAGACAGAAGTGGGGTGTGTTTGAAGGCCAAGAGAATAGGACCTGCTAATTGACACGGTGAGTGAAGGAGACAGGGACTGCAAATACTGAGTGCTGCCCGGTACAGTTGTTCAATTTGTACACTGCACAAGAGCACTCAGCCAAGGAGGCTGAACTCTGACCAGCTCTCTGCTCCCCAGACTGAGCACCCTGGCACCATCCTCCGGGGGGGGGGGCACTTTCTGCTAGGTTATATATAGGTTCCCACTGATTGCATGACTCCCAGGTCCTGAGTGGAGGGGGATGCTGTTTCTTGAGACAAAAAGGAGGTTGGGGCAAAGGGGCTGGTCGGGTCAGTCTGGATGCTGAGAAGGGTTAGTCAGTCAGGTGCGGGGCCCAGAAGGCCAGAGCCTGCATTCCCAGGGGTTTTATCAGTTACTCTTCCTGCAGCTTATGGCTGACTCTGTGGCCACCTTCCTCCAGCTGGCGGACGAGTGTCTGACCACAGCCCTCGACTGCACCCAGGCTGCCCAGCAGCTGGAGAAAGTCAGGGGCCGTGTGCTGAAGGTGAGGTCCGCTGGGGCGGGGGGGGGCGCACGGCAGTGGGCCTGGATGCTCAGATGGCCGCTGGACCAGCCACGTGTGTGTCCTGCAGAAGTTCCAATCCGACAGCAGCTCGGCACAGAGGGAGTTCATCCGCGGGTGGCTGCTCTGCATCTTCTTGCCCTTTGTGTTGAGCCAGCGGGAGTGGAGCTGCAAAGTGGTGAGTAATGGGGCACGCATGGGCACATCCTAGAGGACAACCAAGTGTCTGTTCTTTCTTTCTTTCTTTCTTTCTTTCTTTCTTTCTTTCTTTCTTTCTTTCTTTCTCTTTTTTTTAAGACTTTATTTATTCATTCATGAGAGACAGAGAGAGAGAGAGAGAGGCAGAGACACAGGCAGAGGGAGAAGCAGGCTCCATGCAGGGACCCCGATGTGGAACTCGATCCCGGACCCCAGGATCACATCCTGAGTCAAAGGCAGATGCTCAACCACTGAGCCACCCAGGCGTCCCTGTCTGTGTCTTTCTATACAGTGGACAGAGTGCTCACTCCTTCAGAGCCACTGTGATGATAAGAGACTATTGTGCCCTGAGCCCTATGGCCGGGTTGGATGACTCTTCTGGGCTTCCTCAATGCCCTCTGCTTCTCCCAAGAGAGTCCTTGGCATCTGTTATTTGAGAGCCAGGGTGGGGGCCCATGCAACGCATATCAGTGGGTGACACAGGCTTCAGAGAAGGGAGGAGGGAAAGAGGGAAGGTATGTATGTTGGGGGGTTTTCCGGGTGGTCCAGGAGGCTCTCCCTAAGAAGCAGTGAACCGAGGGCATGAGCCATGTCCCGGGGAAGGGTGGTCCAGGTAGAAGGCACAGCATGTGCAAAGGCCCTGAGGTAGGACCATGCTTGTGTGGGGGAGGAATAGTGAGGAGGCAAGTATGGCTGGAACTCAGTGAGTGAGGGCATGGGGAGAGGGTGAGAGAGAAGGTCACAGGGGCCTGGTCACACAGAGGCATCGGGCAGGTGCTGATGAGATCCTCTCGGAGAAGAAGTTGGATGGGAGGACTAGCAGAGATACTACACTATTCCCTTTGAGATATGATGGGCTGGGTTTCATCAGTCCCCACAACACCCTGAGGGAGGATGGATCACAGAGGCCATGTTATAGATGAGGACATTTAGTCCCAAGGCGCCCCCCGCCCCCTGCCAGCTAATCAGGGTCAACGTTGCAGCCCTCCTGTCCAGCCCAGCCCCTCAGCTGCCTCTCTTCCAGGATCTGCTTGAGTTCGAAGGAGATGTCCTTGCTGTGGGTAGCCCGGCCCTGACCCTCGAAGGCATCTATGAAGACATTGTCCAGGGGGTCCTGCTGCAGAGGATCAATGGAGGTGAGCCCCATTCCTCTATGGCTCAAGGAAGCCTGGTGACCCCTGGCTGTGTATACCATGTTCTGCCAGGCTCCCCATCGCCTCTTACTTCTGGTCAACATTAGCCCTTTGGCTGAGGGTAGGACTGGGACAGATGGGGACTGGGGTGAGTGAGTCTTTGAGGGGCAGTGATGGAAGTTCCTAAAGGAGGGAGCATTGGAACAAGATTGTGAGGGGTGTGTAGGAGTTCTTAGGATGAAAGAAAGGAGGCAAAATTCAGAAACTGGGGGTGGACATGCATATTTATTCATTCAGCAACCACTCTTTTTTTTTTTTTTTTCTGTGCTGGCATTAAAGCCCCAAGGATTCTTGAATCTTCCAGGCTGGGGAGTAGCTCTTGAACCATCTCTTCTCCTTCTCACTTCATTAGTTGCTCATGACCCAATGCCTGAGACTGCAGAGATGTGTGCTGGGATGAGCCATGTGAGATTGAGGGACTGTCAGGGCCTCCATGTGGCTGATGCAGAGAACATGGAGGAGAATGGAAAGAGAGGAAGCTGGAGGCTGCCAGGGCAGGTGTGCAGGGCCTGGAATAGCAGGCAGAGGAGGTTAAGCTTTATTGAGCGGGCACTGGGGAGCCATGAAGGGTGTGTGAACAGAGGGCAATAGTGACCAGACTGGAAGCCAGGCAGGAAGCTGAGAGCACAGTTCTGGAGACAAAGGATGGACTCAGGGGCAGCAAACAAGGGTATAGAGCCCAGGTATGAGGCTGAGGTGGGAGTCTGAGGTGGTTGGGCTGGGCATCACTGAGTGTACAAGTGGGGCCACAACACTGGGGACAGTGTATACAGGAATAAGTGGGGTCCTGAAAAGCCTGTATTTGAAGGACACAAGAGGAAGAAGGGACACAGACGGAGCAGTTGGAGATGATAGGAGAAAGCCAAAGACGGTAGGATTTGGGGAGCCAGGAAGTAAGGGTGCAGATGTCCTTGGTCTTTGGGCTTCCAAACAAAAAGAACTAAGTTCCCTTAAAAAGGGGCATCTTAAGTAGAAAAAACAACAACAACAACAAAAAACTATTCTCTAATTGGAGAAAAAAAAAACAAAACCTTAGAGAGCTTCTGTTCTTAGAGATTTTACATGTCCTTAGTGTCACTCCAACCTTAATTGACTTGTAATGTCTGCTCAGAGTGCTGTGTTGGCAAGTGGGGCTGGTACGCAGCACAGTGAAGGTGTGGGGATCAGCTAGCGATGTCTGCCATGGGCACAGTATGGAAAGAGACTTATTTGAATCACTCATTTTGGGTTCCTGGTTGAGACATTTCCTCCCATCCTTTGCCCTCCTGTGGCCTCTCTGAGAGAATGCATGGATTCCTTGGTGGGTCCAAGGGTTTATCTTTTGCTTTAGAATTGAAAAAGGCCCTCGGTGTCAGTGATGTGTCCTGCACTTTGGATGGTTCCTCAGAGGCCCCATGGGACCAGACAAGAGTAGGTAAGCACCTCATAAGCTCTTGGGCCATTCTGGTAAATTGTTGGGGGGAAAGGGGACCTCCTATGGGGTGTAAGGGATGGTTCTAAGCGTGGATTCCTGGGTGGAACAGCGTATACCTTACATCCTGACCCAGCGGGTTGGCCAAGCTATGGTAAACAAGGGCAATGGGGAGCAAGTCTGAGCCACAGAGGTACCCTCTGACATGGACATCAATTGGTGTCCCATTTCATCTTGCCAGGACTCCATGGAGTCTCTCCCAGCAGCTACCAGTTCCCAACACTGCAAGGGGGAGATTCTGGTGATGGGGGCCTTGGGTCTACCACAAGTGAGGGCTGCTCTGGGAGATGGGTACAGGGAGCCATGCTCAGGGCCAGGGCAGCCTGCCCTCCTACTACAGGATCCTACAGTGAACTCTTTGTTGGAGCAGTAAATGCATGTTGGGCTGGGGCTGACATTGCTGCTGGTGCAGGGATCCTCAGCTCCAGCTGTAAGATGGAAATGCATCATGGGGACTTCCCTGAAATGGGGCAGAAAACAACTGGTCCAACTAGAAGCAGACCGGTGGGCAGGACGGCTATGATCTGGATATTCAGAACCCAGGGCAGGTGCAAGGTGCAAGGTGCAAGGTGTAAGGATTCTGGAACAGCTCACAGCTCAATCCCCTTGAGAATTACTATTCTGAGAGCCTTGTGAAGCCACCCAACTAAGTGGCTTCCATATCACCCACAGAAATTCTGAGATAATGTGAGCTAACTTTTAGAGTTATTTGTTACACAGCAGTAGCTAACTAACATGCTGCTGATCTGGGATAAATCCTGTAGTCGATCACTGTATATAAACTGAAGGGTATTCACATGTACTGGGATAAATGGAGATTAAACTGCTTTAGAAAGACTTCTGGATGTCAGAATATCTGGGGAATCACAATTGAGGATGAGGGATCACAAATGGGGCCCCGTAATCTATTTGACTAGAATCTAACCAGTGATGGCCATTTTGCTTCTAGTCTTTTGAACTAACTGTTACTGCTGTAGAGAATGACCTGGTACCTACTGTCCTGGCAAGTACAGGTCCCTAAGGGTAAATCCCCCAGTATGAAATCTCAGGGTCTCAAGCATTTGTGTTTGGCGTTTCAACAGCAGTCTCCAGAGCACTCTCCACCAGGGTGGTTCCACCTGGTACCCCTCACCTGTGTGCCAGTGGCCCATTTTCCCCCCAGGCTGCACAGGCTACCAGCTGACTCAGGATTTCTCAGATCTTCTGAGTGAAAAACGGTGTCTTGGCATCATTATTGTGAGCATCTTTTTTGGGAGATGAGATTAGCATCTTTTCGTGTGTTCAGGAACTGTTTTTAGCTTCTTTTCTCTGAAACTTTATTCCTCTCCTTGGCCCACTTATCTTCTGGGCACTTGTAATTTTCTGTTCAGTTTCTTTTGCTGGGCTTGCATTTACTGAGCATTTATTATGTGCCAGGCATTTGATGTGTTTTGGCATCCTTATGACGCTTTGTATTTTGCAGATGAGGGAGCTGAGGCTCAGAAAGGGGCAGCCAGGCTCTGGTGCTGAGGTCCAGCCTTTCTGCCTGCTGCCTCCTCCGAGCACATTCCGCAGCTGAGTTTTCAGCCACCTCTGTCCTCATTCGTTCGCAGTGGATAAGTGTGTGCTAGTGGAATTTAAGAGTCAAAGCATATGCACCATTTCAAGCCTTTTATAACCCTCATACCTCCACCTCATTCCTCTCCGAAAAAGCTGGTCTTTTTACACTCCCATCAGCAGCATTTGTGCATATTCTCCATACCCTTTCCAAACACTAGAAATTTTCATAACAGAGCAAAAGTCAATTTGAAAGACACACACATTTCATTGTTTTATTTTGAATTTCCTTAATGATTACACTGAATCTAAACATGTGTTTATTGGCCATTTTTATGTTTGTGCTTTTATTTTTTTTTTTAAGTGAATTGCCTGTTCATGGTTTTTACCTACTTTTCTCTTCAGGAGATTTTATCTTTCTCTTATTGATCTCTAATAACTCTTTGTATATTAAAGATATTAATGCTTTGCTATACAGGTTACTGGTATTTTTATTCTTAGCATGCTGTGGACCTTTTGGGTTTGTTTATTTGCTCCAAATCTTAACTCAGTTTCAAGTTTCCCAGCTGGGAGCGAAGGATTTGCTGACTTCCCTCTGCTTGCCAGAAAAGTCATCTGTCTACCCGGGGTTTGGCAGCTTCTCTGTATCACAAGCCTTCCAGCTGCTTCCGGAGTAGGTTCCGGAGGGATTTCCCCAGGGTCTTTCTCGGTTCAGCTTTCAGAGGGGGATGTGCACACTCTGTGGAGTTGGTTTCCTTCCATTCCACACTGGAGTTTTCAGCCTCCCCAATAGAAAGATTCTCTTCACTTTTCCTGACTTTACCCTCCAACTCAAACCTCTGAGATATATTTGTGCTTCATGGCCCCCATACAGCTGTTTTTTTTTTTGTTTGTTTGTTTGTTTTTTAAATTTTTTAACCCAAGATATGATGTTAACTGTAAAATTGAAGCAACAACAACTTGTCATCCGGCCACCTTTGAGAAAATCACTATTAGCTTTTGGTTCTAAAATCTTCCAGTCATTTGTCAATTAATTAGGGTACGGGATGTGTCTTGTCACTCTGTTTTTCTGACTTAATATGAATGATCTTTCCTTGTCAGATCCATAGAGTGCAAAATTGTTTTTGCCATTTTATTCCAGAAAGTTTCAAACATACCCCAAAATCAGAGCCCCCTGTGTGCCCCCACTTAGATTCCGCAGTGACCAAGGGTGGCCTGATTCCTTTCCTCTACATCCTTCCCTCACCTCCTTAGTCAGTCATATAACCAGTACATTTGAGGTGTGTTTCCAAAATACTCAGCAAAAAAACTGAACTTGTGCAAAATGGTTGTTGTAGAAAAAATGGAGAACAGAAGCAAAGGAGAGAAATGAAACGAACAAGGAGAAGGGCATGGGGAGGAGGAAGGGCAAGTATGCCATCTGTTAGCCAAGCTGGAAGATTTGGAGCTTTTGGGGTCAAGCCCAGCTTTTCCTTAGGTTCAGACCCTACTGTCCTTTGAGCTCAAGGACACACTACCCGTGCCCTGAATTTTACTGAACAACATTGACTCTTCTCCTCCCGACCACCATATTAATAAATGTACATCCGAGCATCCTTCTTAAAACGTAATTTTTAAGAATGACACAAACCCAAGCAATTGGAAAGTACGCCAGAGTCTTGGGAAGCAATCCCTGGGTAGCATTTCTTTCTTTTTTTTTTTTTTTTAATTTTTTTTTAAATTTTTATTTACTTATGATAGTCACAGAGAGAGAGAGAGAGGCAAAGACACAGGCAGAGGGAGAAGCAGGCTCCATGCACCGGGAGCCCGACGTGGGACTCGATTCCGGGTCTCCAGGATCGCGCCCTGGGCCAAAGGCAGGCGCCAAACCGCTGCGCCACCCAGGGATCCCCCCGGGTAGCATTTCTAAGAAAACCCCCACGCTGCCTCCGGAGCGCGTGCTCAGCACTTGCAAGTATCACTTGCAAGTATCATCCGGCTCCATCTAACATCAACCCTGCGGGGTCGGTAAGACGCTGTTTTACAGACGGAGAAACTGAGGCTCACACTGCGAGCCCACGGTGGGGGGTTGAATTTGAACCCAGGACGCCAGGGACCCACCCGCGCTTAATACCCAACAGCCCTTGTGGACATCCCTGTGAAACCAGGTCCGCCTGGGGGCACAGACTGGGCCTTATACAGATGGGAGCGGTACGGTGTGAGGCGAAGGTCCAGGCGGCGGGAGGTGTCGGGAAGAAGGGCATTTCTAAGCTCTGACACCTCTACGGCCATGATCACGTCCGCCGGGAACACTAGGAGCGCTCTGTGCCTTTAAGGCGGGAGCGGGGGCGGGGCCTCGGGGCGGGCCCGCCTGCGGACGCGGCGGGCGGAGGGCGAGCCGCGCTGGGAGCCTTTAAGGCCCTCCCGGGGCGGGGCCTGGAGAGCGGGGCCCAAACGGAGGATTCGCGCCAGACACTCTCCTCCCCTTTAAGGCGCGCGGCAGGGCGGGGCCCCGTGTCTCGCTCAAGGCGCGGTCCGCGTCCGCCGTCAGAAAAGCGGCTTAAAGGCGACGCGTGGCGCGATGGCGGCGGCCCCACGCGCGTGCCGGCGGCGCTGGCGGCCACGCCCGGTGCTGCTGCTGCTGCTTCTGCTGGCGCTGCCGCCCCCGGGGGGCCCGCCGGGCGCCGCCGCCTACTTCCCCGAGGAGCGCTGGAGCCCCGAGTCGCCGCTGCAGGCGCCGCGAGTCCTCATCGCGCTGGTGGCGCGCAACGCGGCCCACGCGCTGCCCGCCACGCTGGGCGCCCTCGAGCGGCTGCGGCACCCGCGGGAGCGCACGGCGCTGTGGTGAGCGCGGCGTCCGGCCCGGGCGGCTCCACGCCGCGCGCCGCCTGCTGCCCCGGCCCCGGGCGGGGCGGGCTGGGCGGCCCCACGCGTGTCCCCGGCTCGCTTCCGTCTGCGGGGCGGGCGGGACGCGCGGGCCCTCTGCTCGGGCCCGGTGCCTCCCTCCCGGCTCTGCCCCGCCGCCTGGGACCGACCCTCACAGCGCCCTTGGGGCGCCCACAGCTCCCAAGCAGGGGAGCCCGGAGCCCCCGCGGCCCGCATTGCGCTTCCACTAACGGGGGGCGGGGGCTGGCTTTCCAGCTTCTGCTGCAGTGGATCCTGAACCGAGCCTGAGCCGGATTCCCTGCGCTCTGGCCAGCGCGGGTGGGTGCGTGGGTGGGTTAGGGGGCCAGGTGGCCACGGGTAGGGCAACGCGGCAGGCAGAGCCGGGACACCTGCCTGGTGACTTCCCCCTCCTGCCTCAGTTTCCTCATCTGGAAAATGGCAGCATTAGTAGAACTCCGGTTGCATTGGTCTCTGAAGCTTAACCGTTTAATGTAATGCACGTGAAGCCCTTGTGCCTGGCGTCTCTGGCTTGGTGCTCAGTGCCCAGAGCTGCGGCTGCTAGTAGGTTGTCATTACTAGTCATCAATGATACTGTTGTTGTTAACTTAGTAACAGCTCATTTGAGGGGACAGCTCTCATCTGCCTGTGGACTCGGTAGTTTCCCTCGCCCTCCATCCCAGGTTGGCCAGCCTGGGTGATGCAGGCACACAGTGGGTGCTTCAGAAATGTTCGTTGAATTAACGAGTAACCACAGGCCCCTATTAAGGTGGTGTTGCTCACAGAACAGACTTGAGGAAGGTGGGGTGGGGGTATCCGATATATGCATTTTATTATTTATTTATTTATTTTAAAGATTTTATTTATTTATTCATGAGAGAGAGAGGCAGAGACACAGGCAGAGGGAGAAGCAGGCTCCATGCAGGGAGCCCGACAAGAGACTCGATCCCGGGACTCCAGGATCACGCTCAGGGCCAAAGGCAGGCACTAAACCGCTGAGCCACTCAGGGATCCCCAATATATGCATTTTTAAATTAAACCGCAATATTTAGTACCTAACATGGTTATAAGATCCTAGATGCTCAGTGGTACTAACAGTGTCTAGTGTGTTAATTTTTCCAAAATTAGCTTGTGGGTCCTGTCTTCATCTGGAACACAGATGAGGAAACAGGCTTGGAGTGGGGGAGGCATCTTCCAGGGCCATCAGCTGGTGGCATGGCCAGTTTAGAGTGTGGAGCGCATGTTGCTTCACTGCTGCCCCATCCTGCCTCAGTCTCCCCCGCCTCACACTGACTGTCCTGCTCGACTTGCAGGGTGGCCACAGACCACAACTCGGACAATACATCGGCTGTGCTGCGGGAATGGCTGGTGGCTGTAAAGAGTTTGTACCATTCTGTGGAGTGGCGGCCGGCAGAGGAGCCCAGGTGAGCTCCTGGATCTGCCCTGACTGCCCACCTTCCCAGTAAGACTGGGCTGCGCCCCTATTCACACACCTCCTGTGACGCCTCATTGTCTTGAGACGGAACCTCAGCCCCTCAGCCTCTGACTCTCCAGCCCAACTCTGCAGCCTTAAGGGCTGGCCTTGGCTTCTCAGACCCGCCCTCAGCTTTAATGGACCATAATCCTCCAGTTGGACCTTTGCCCCAGCAGTTCCCTCCACCTAGAGTTCCCTCACTCTCTTGTCCTCCTGGTGGCCGCCTTCTGCTTTGTTTCCAGTCTCATTCTGTGCCCCAGTGCTCTGTTGCTTCGCTTCCCGGGAGCCTCTGGGCAATGCAGGCCCCTGGCTCCTAGCTGCCTGCCTGCCTGTCTGTCTGTCTTTCTTTCTAGTAAATGACTTTTTTTAAAAAAGGTTTTATTTATTTATTTGAGAGAGAGAGAGCACAAGGGCGAGGGAGAAGCAAGCTCCCCGCTGAGCAGGGAGCCTGATAGGGGCCTCGATTCCAGAACCATCGGATTATGACCTGAGCTGAAGGCAGACACTTAACTGGCTGAGCCACCGAGATGCCTCTCAGGGTTTCTTTCTTTACCTATCTGCTGTCCGGACCAAATTCTGAGTCTGGGAGGACAGGCCCCAAGTTTTCTTCTTTCTTCTGTGTGTTCTGTCCCAACAGCTCCCCTTACTCTCAGGAATGACCCTGCGAAGCAAAGAGGCTCCTAGCCCCATCTCCAGAGCCTTCTTCCCATTCTGCAGGTGCTCTGGGCTTTTTTCTTTTTTTCTTTTTTAAGATTTTATTTATTTATTCATGAGAGACATGGGGGTGGACACACACACACACACACACACACACACACACACACAAGCAGAGGGAGAAGCAGGCTCCATACAGGGAGCCTGACATGAGACTTGATACCGGGTCTCCAGAATCAGGCCGTGGGCTGAAGGCGATGGTAAACCACTAAGCCACCTGGGCTGCCCCCTGACTTGGGCTTTCTCTGCTCTGGACCTTTGTACATGCTATGACCTCTACTGAGGACA